CTCCTCCAAAGTTATTTGCCGCAACAGAAATGGTACATACATGGGCTCGTTTATACAGGTCATTCAGGGACTTGTTTCACCGACAGTACTTGAAGCCATAACATGTAGAGAAGATTTAGCATTGGCGAAGGATCTGGGGATGCAACACCTCTACATTGCATCACATTGCAAGGAGGTCATAAATCATATTCGTGATGGTTTTGGAGGAGCGGATGGGGTGCTACTTAGAGAATCCATGACTGCAGGTGGTGCTCCTGCTACTTCAAGTTTTGTCCACACTACAACTTCTTAATCTTCTTTGTAAAATGAAAACGACTTAAACTTCTCTGTTAAAATGGAAACCGCTTCAACTTATGTCTTGGTAGATGAAGTGGTATGTGGTGTACTTAACTAGGGAGGTATCTAGGAGTTTATGATTCATGACAGACATGTCGTGAACAAGTGGACCGTCATAAGAACAACCGCTATAAAAGGTTTAAGAGTAGGGAGGAGGCAGAGGATGATTACTCCAAGCTCGTGCTAAGAGAGAAGAGCAATCATGAAGTAGGCAAAGGTGCAGGTCTGGTTGGGTTGAGTGGGCCAAAGAACTTGATAATATTCGTCCAATTCGTCATTATTGTGGAGTTCAGGTCATCCCGTGCCATGTTAATTAGTACATTGGGTCGATTGTTACTTCTTTCCAAAATCATTATCTAACACTTATCTGGTTTATCTCCTCTGTAAAATGCAAAGTAGTTCCACTTCATTGGAGAGTGGTAATGTATACCCGCTACATGGATTTAGCTCGCATTGCATTTTCAATAACCTGCTCATTTTTCTGACATGCAACGGTAATTTAGCTGCATTGCATAGGAAAAATAGATGCTTAGTTGTGTGCGTTAGAGATATTAATCACACCATCTAATGACGACTTCCATTGCCAGGCGGGGGTGTATGATCTTCTCTAATACATTGCAGTATGGCTTAAGATAGCTGGTCCATTGATGATCTTTGTGTATCATGCAGATGATGTATGGTCACTAGTAGAAAACAAGGCTTTCGTCACAGCCGGATCCGGTTGCATTACGATCCAGCAATAGTCCCGGTTGCGTTACGAACCGGGACTAATGTGAGCATTAGTCCCGGTTCGAGCGGCTAGGGCGTCGGGAAAGCATTAGTCCTGGTTCAAATGGGACATGTAGTCCCAGTTTGAGACACGAATCGGGACTAAAGGGTGCGATGCTCTTTAGTCCCGGTTCGTATCTCAAACCGGGAGTAAAGATTAGACCTTTAGTCCCAGTTTGAGACATGAACTGGGACTAAAGGATGCGATGCCCTTTAGTCCTGGTTCGTGTCTCAAACCGGGACTAAAGGGATTCTTGTCTTAAACTCTACTCCCCTGGTGTATTGCCATTTTAGTTTTGAAAAAACAAAAAGAAAATGATAAAAACTAAAAAAAAATAAAATTCTTCGAGATGTAGTTATATTACTATATCTACTAGTTAGGAAAATAAAAAATAAATAAATTTGGACATGTTTTGCAAAAAAGATGGTATGAAAAAGTAAAACGGCAATAACTTTTGCATACGATGTCAGAAAAAACGTATAACATATCAAAATTTTCAGCACGAAAATCCGTTTTGCAAATTTTAGAATCCTCAAATTCTAAATGGAAAAAAAGACATGCTCAAATTTCAGTTTTTTTGAATTTTGGTCAAACTACTTATTCAAGTAATATTAGTGTTACTAAATAATTATTTTAGTTTTTTTTAATTTTGGTGAAATCTGGTCAAACTGTGGTCAAACTATGGTCAAACTACTTATTCAAGAAATATTAGTGCTACTAAATAATTATTGGTTTTAAGAATAATAGTTTCAAACTCAAACAGTGTAACGTGATATTTCATGCTCAACTTCAATTCCTAAGGGTTAATAAGATTGACAGCTTTCTATTGTTAGGAAAACAACAAGTGCAGACTTGGAAACCAGCGCACTAGGAGCCTTTGTTTCGTCTTGACTTTTTTTGTTCCATTCAACCACATGATATCATGATGATAGATATTGTAACGATTACCTCGAACTTGTGTTTGAATAAAGAAAGAATCGTCACACGTACCCCTAAAAACAAACAGCCTGCTCTCTCTCAAAAAAAAAAACACACCCTGCACGGGAGATCTAACTTAACTTGCACGGGCCGATCCCTCAAAAATAAACCCAAAAAAAAAAGACTTGCGCGGGCCGATGATGGATGGATTTTCTAGGCCCATAAGGCCGCAAACCCGGCCAGCTGAAAGGCACTTGAAAGACTCCGGCTTGGCGCCCGAAGGTAACCGTCTCAACCAACAGAAGAGCCTTCCTCTTCTCCCCCGTAC